GGGATCAGTGACAGTGCGGAGACCAAGAGCTGAGCAATCAGCGGTTTGTGATCTTTCATTTCTCGAGCTGTATATTTAACACTCGCAATAGTTCTCCTTCACTTGCTAAAACATATTGTAGAGCTCAATAACTCAAGCTAAAATGTGTACAATCAGTGGGCTTGTTTTACAAAACCAAATCATGAAGAGCAGGCATAATATGCTATGGTATGCTTGCATTATGTGTGCACATCAATACATGGATGTACAGTATATGCACACAGTAACTGCAATCCCTGAACCTGCCAAGCTGATCGTACACTGATGTTCAATACCTACAGTACGGTGCACATCGCAGGTGCATAATAAAGATGGTAAGGATACGATTTGGCTATTCCAGCAGCAAACATTCATATGCTTTGGTAGATCAGACCCACTGAATGAATCTCTGGAGTGACTCCTCTCTGAATGGACGTCTCTCTCCAAGGTTTTATCATGTCTAATCATGTCTAATAGGAGACAACTACTATTGTACACTGGCGGAACTACCAGGGGGCCCTGGAGTTCCGCCACTTGGGGGGGGGCCAGCGAGGAAGAAGAGGGCCCCCCCGAGGGAGGGCCGCCTCTTCCTTAATAGGAGACAACTACTATTGTACACTGGCGGAACTACCAGGGGGCCCTGGAGTTCCGCCACTTGGGGGGGGGCCAGCGAGGAAGAAGAGGGCCCCCCCGAGAGAGTGCCGCTCCTTCCCTACCGCACAGCCGCCCGCAGCATGTACGGGCAGCTGTGTGGCAGGGATGGGAGAGACTGTCACCAGCAGAATATGCTGCAGGCACTGCCGGGCAGCACATTCTGCTGTGTGAGGACCCGACCCTCTTAGCCCCGCCCCCTGAATGGGGAGACGAGGAAGAGGGCCCTGCTGGAGAAGGAAGGTAAGTCTGGAGTGGGAAGAGGGGGGGGGAGTGTGTGTGTTGTGTAGTGGGATTCTGTAGTGCTGACTTCTATTATAATGTATTGCTGGGACTTGTAGTCCCGCATAGCTGGTGGGATTCTACATTGCTTTATGATGATTATACAGCAATGCAGAATAGCTCCAACTATGTAGGACTACAAGTCCCAGCAATGCATTATAGTGGGGGGGATGCTGGTGTATTGGTATTCTGCATACCTGACTTTTATTATAATGTTTTGCTGTGACTTGTAGTCCCGCATAGCTGCTGGTATTCTGCATTGATGCATGATGATTATACAGCAATGCAGAATAGCTCCAACTATGTAGGACTACAAGTCCCAGCAATGCATTATAGTGGGGGCGGGGATGCTGGTGGCATTCTGCATAGCTGACTTATTATAATGTATTGCTGGGACTTGTAGTCCCGCATAGCTGGTGGTATTCTGCATTGTTGTATGATGATTATACAGCAATGCAGAATAGCACCAACTATGTAGGACTACAAGTCCCAGCAATGCATTATATTTTTAAGTAGGGATACACCAGTGTTAATACTGGCCATTTTCACAAGTAATTATACTCGTGAAAATGCCCCGATACTAAACGCAGATACCGGTGTTCTGTCGAGAACGCCGATGTAGTCGAATCTGCGCTTGTGCACAGACCAATATTATTGAGGGAACAGGGATTTATTTATAAAGTATTTCGTTTAAATTGTTAATTGTGACCGTTAATAATATTCCACCCGTCATTCACCGCCATTGACGGCATATTATTAACATCACAATTAACCATTACAAACGAATACTTTGTAAATAAATGCCGGTTTCCTCGTTAATCCCGTCTGTACGCAAGCGCAGATACTGGGTCGGCGCTCGACAGAACACCGGCACTAAAATTTTAAGCAAGCGGCTGCCCGAGGTCCCACGCTTGCTGGGCAGCCTTCCTGTCAACCATGCGGTGCCATGGCGGTTGGGGGGGGGGGGGCCTTCATGGTTTCTTGCACCGGGGCCCTGAAGGTTCTAGTTACGCCTCTGCTATTGTACTCTCATCAGTGAAAAAAACATTTCAATTAGAAATAGAAGAAAACTGACCCAAACCCCTTTATATTTTCCCTTACTTACAGAAATTGCTATTTTAACTGTATTGATCAGGACATGTATAGTTCGTATCTCCCAGCACTCATCTGTAAGACATCATCAATGGTGTTCATTACCCTGAAAAATGTAACTATTTGTTCGGAAGATGATGGCAGATTAAATTATGTGCTCATGAGTCTGACCAGTTCTCGGTTGCCATGGCGCTGTTAGCAATTTACGGACCACAGTCGTAGCCTGGTGATTTGCAAAAGAGAAGATTCTGAATGGGAGATTGTTTGAAGGTTTTAAATATTAAAATGAGAACGAATTTGATAGAACGGGCCTCCCTGTGCACCTCTAACCGGCCGGCAAGGTTTTTGTTATTTATTCTAAAAAATTTAGATTGAGAGTTTACATTTCTAAAAACCGGCCTATGTGTGTGTAAGCCCAAAGAGATGTAGCGTACGGATGTATGTCCTGCACTCCTTACGGGGTCTGGAACCAGTAACAGATATGGTGCTTGTACTGATAAATATGGATGGGGCCGTGATGAAGGGACCCTGCGTGGCCCCGAAACATTGGCTAGCTGATGAATGTGATGCTGCTTTCGTATAAATGAACACAAGGATTTAAACAAAATATTTTTGAGTGTTGGTGATCCTCTAGTTTCTTAAGCCCACAAAAGAGGTTTCCAGTCATTTGAATCCTGGAGATTCCTTATTATATTTCATGCTCATTTTCTTTTGTTTTTAAAGGCGACGTAAGGCTTACCTCCAGCCAAAACTTTTGGAAGGGTGATTTTTCCAACTTTCATTGAATGGTAAGTGAGAGAAAATGTCCCCCCTCCCTGCTTATTTCATTGGTGTCTAACAGAACAAGAAGTGAGGGGAAATATCTACAGTGGGGACACAGACAGCAGTACCAAAGAAAAGTTCTAGTACTGAGAGGAAGGTTTATAGCCTCTGTTAAGATTTATTGTTCTCTGTTGAAGATAATTTTCTCTCTCTTTCTGTCCAGGTGAAAGTCGTAGGATCAAGACAGGAGAGAAATCACCCCTATGGAAGATCTAACATTTAATTTTTTCTAGCCGAAACGTAAAAAAAAAAAAAAATGGAGTTGGATTTTATAGTCAAAATAAGACATAGCTCTACAAAAATGGCTCCCTGACCTAAACAAATACTGTATTCCTGGAACAGGAGTCCCCAGGAGCAGCTGTTGCTGTACGTCCTCTCCTGTCTGTTAGTTTTAGATTTTAGGTCTGGAATTGTTTGGGGGTGAAGGCTTCAATTGACCCAACACTTTCTGGTACTTTTCTTGCCACTCGTTCCCACACCCCATAAACACATTCCTATTGGCCCATTACCATGAAGGACTGCCAAACTGTCCATTAGCAAACGTGCAGGAGGCAGGAAGAGTGGGCAAGCTTTGGCATTACCAGAAAATTTTAGAGCTTTATTTATCAAAGTGGCCCAACATTTGGGTCTAGTCATGGGGACCTGGGAGCTCTAGGTGCCTACACTTTATAGCCAACAGCATCCCCCTCTCCCTCTTCCCCATGATAAAGTTGCTACAAGAATACTTAGCAATATAGATATTAAAAGCTACATATTCAATAACAGTCCAACCAGTATTCAAATACAACTCACAGTGTTAAAGCTTATCCTTTAAATCTGGAACAATGATCAAGTGTAATATGCCATATTTTTACATTTGGATTTGGGAGTGTGGTGAGGGTTAAGAACCACTGTTGGGTTTTATTGCTTTCTGTGTCTTTACTCTCTTCATTTGTCCTGGTCACCAATGTCACAATTCAGAAATACTACATTTTGAGTGGCCCCCAGAGAAGGAATAGAGGGGAAATCTTCCAATAGGGACACTTGTTCTCAAGACAACTGTCTAAGAGGGCATTTCCCTAATGAGACAGAAAACCCTCCACCACTCTATTCAACATAACAAAACAAAAAAACTTCTGGCTTCAGATATTCTTCAACAAACTAAACACCAAAAATGTCACAGTGACCACATTACACAATGTCATGCAATTAGGGAGCATTAACTAATAACTTATCAAACCAGGGCCTATAACATGGTGACGTATATAAATATGAGAATGTATAAAGAATTTCCCCACAAAAAAATGAGAATGTTATCTAACAAAAGCAAGATGCCAAAACCACCACCATCTTGGCTATTCGAGGTGCATCTTCTGCTGTTCTGTGGCTGTCATCTATCTAATATCTTATGCTATAATTATTTGATATCTACTACCTGAGGTGCTGCAGTTTACAATACATAAGGGCACAGGCTGACAGCTATGGACATATTCATTTAGGAGACTCACACTTTGCCCATTTAAGGCAAGTTGACCCTCCCATTGAATGTATCTATGCCAGGTCTAAGTGCCTGGGCAGGTTGACTCTTGCTGGAATCCCACACCTGTTTCCAACCCCGTGTTCCCTCTGTGTGGATGATCTCACGCCCAGAGATCACTGTAATTTTGTTGGGGGGCTCTAGTAAGTGGTCCGACCATGGAGTATTCAAGTGACCAATAAGAGTGCATAGTTTGGTCCTGTTGTGTAATGTATCCAGCTATAACAAATGATGTGGTAGATTCTAATCCTGTCATTGTGTGCGCAATCTTCTCCATCTTTTGAGCTAACCATTCCCTGCAGTGGGAGATTGGATAGACTGCCAGAGTCAGGGCACTACACCTAGGACTTCTTGACTATGAGGCTAAACTGTGACATCCAACTTTCCAACGTAACCTTCTCAGTGGCAAATAAGGGTGCTCTTATTGGATATTGGGACCATAGAAGGGATGGGTTTAGCAAAAGATGGGGTATTGGGACCATAGAAGGGATATCGGGACCATAGAAGGGATGGGTTTAGCAAAAGATGGGGAGGGGTTGAGTAACTACTTTCTTCGGATTGTAGAGTTGTCAACTGCTGGGCAAACTTTACAAATCACAAGCATAAAAGTCAGACTGACCTGAGGATAACTGGCCCACAGTAAGATGGGTGGATCCTGCTGCAGGAATCCTCCAATTGGAGCCTCTCTCCGGGGCTGATGTCATAATTGTGCTTTGGGTAACTAACCAGCCAGCTGTAGTCCACCCCAGTCTTGATCTTCCTATACTCATTCTCCTTCTCACGATGCTGTTTCTCAGCCTGCTTCATCTGCCAGCTGAGTTCCATCATAAGTGTATCCACCACCATGTCGGATGGGCTCCTGTGAGGCAGTCTTAAGTTGGAGTCATTCCACCTAAACCAAGACGTCAGCGCCATTACCTGAAACAAACAAAAGCATTGTAATGTTAAAAAACATAAAGAGGAAAAAAAATCACGGATTACATAATAAACTATGTCAGCTGTCATATGATTTTATGATTGATATCATCAGAAAATCTTAGAAGATCAGTTTATTCAAAAATTACTCCAGGATATTATTGTACAGTAGGTTGCTATTAAATTACTAAATAAAACCAATTGAAACAATGACCAGACCCCCTATCTCCACATGAGCAACGCAGCACAACTAATTGACTCCTTGCGCTGTTTCTTCATCCTCCAGTCTAACCTCTGCTGTGCAAGGACTGCAAGAGCCTGATACCAGGTGGCAGAGCAGTATTAGGAGAAGATGTGCCCCAATACACTGTCGGTTAAGTATTAAGATGAAGCACTAAGATCTGTGAGGAATGTTGAATTAAGTTTTACTTGCTTAGAAGAATATTACATCTGAATACAGCATTGTAAGGAAAACATATAGATAGGAAAACTTCCTGTGTATCATAGATAAGCATGCATATACAGAGTAACATTGCACTACACTGCCATCTACAGCTCGTAAAGGCATATTACATCTCAGTAATACAATCAGTGCATATCAGCATATGCTGTTGCATTTCCAACATACACAGGGTCATCTTCTGCTAATTATGTAACAACAGGCATATGAGCAACCTAATCTATGAGGGCACACTGTATCTGCTACCCTGCCTGTTATCTGTCTTCCTGGCACCGACCTTTGCTTGTCCTGACTACTGTATGCTTCCATCCTGGGTGTACCACTGTCTTGCACAGCTATTTTCTGTGGTCTGGACTATCGACACCCGTGCCCTCTTACTCTCTGCATTTTTATTCAGGGGTGTCTGGTCCAGAGGTTTAGGAGAAGCCCTCTTGTCATCTCGGCTTCCACCAGGTGCGTGATACCAAGTCAAATTCAGGTACTTTCACTGCTTGCATTTAAAAGTACATTTAATTGTGTATTCATGATTACAGAGCTTCATTACATTGTTTCATTTATATGTGTCTAGAGTTCAGCTTTATCTTTTTATTTCTTTTTGGTTGCCATGTAGCACACTTCAGTTTGTGAATGTCTAAATGTCCTGTGTTTGTCTGGTAGGGTATACAGATGAATTTAAAGTCTATTAAACTCTGTGAACCTGTTTCACTAAACAATCTAATACCAAGAGAATCTTTAAGCTCCTTTGAGGGTTAGCATACCCCGTCTGGAGAGACTCTCTGCTCCTGGCAATTACAGTTAATCCTGGATTTCTATATATAACTGAGCTCCTCACAAGTGATATAGCTCTGATTTGATAAACCATTTTGTTCACAGTCAAAGACTATCAGCGGTCCATGTGTGGCACCACCTACAGATGACACAGAACTGAGAAGCTGGGTGTTAATCACTGGGGTGATGAACTGAGAACAGACTGTATTTTAATTAACTGACAAAAGAGTGTATTTTAATTAACACATACCTACCCGGCGTTCCTGAGATTGTTGGGAATGTTGCAGGTTTTGGAGTCTAAGCCCTCGTTCACACCTGAACGTTTTGTAGCGCGTTCTACGCTCGACGAACGCTCTACAAAACGCTCAAAAATATAAATCCAATTGTATTCAATGGTCTCGTTCCCACCTTGGCGTATTTCCGCCCGTCCCTAACGCGCTACAAAACGGCCCACGCCTGAAAAGGTACAGGTACTACTTTGGGCCGTTTTGTTGCGCGTTTCCATTGGGCTACAGCCAAGTAGCCTTCGGAAACGCGCGAATTTACCGCAAATCGCGGTAAAAAACCGCGCGACAGACGCGCATATGCAATACGCCTAGGTGTGAACGAGACCTTAGGCCTCATTCACACAGACATAGAGGTTCGTAGAGCCTGAATGAAGCGTTTGTTTGTGTGGCTAGGGGGAGCCCGGGAGTACAGGTGTCTGTGTGCAGCAGGGGTTGGCAGCCTATAAAAATAAATGGCAGAGTGACAGATGCTGAGACTGTATGCATCTTCCTGCACATCTCAGCATGAAACTGGGTGCGGGCATGGATGTATGTCCATGGACGCAGACAGCAGACAGCATACAGCGTGAAACTGGGTGGAGGCATGGATGTATGTCCATGGACGCAGACAGCATACAGCGTGAAACTGGGTGCAGGCATGGATGTATGCCTATGGACGCAGACAGAATACAGCAGGAAACTGGGTACAGGCGTGGATGTATGCCCATGGACACAGACAGCATACAGCGTGAATGAGGTGTGACAAATTCTTCATTCACACAGTACGGGCATCTTCAGCTGTGTGAATGAGTCCTATAAAGGGCACCAGAAATATTAGTGTAGATAAGGTACAGCTGGAATTTTAGAAATGTTTACATTTGATTAAGGTATGACAGAAAGTCAGTTAAAGCTGAACTCCATATCAGACACAAATGGATTCTTACAAGCTTGCTGTTCCACATTTTTGTTATTGTATTGAATACGTAGAGGTCCGTAGGTAAGCCACAGGCTCTCTGTCATTCAGTGTAGTTTTTCTTTCTCTCTTTTAGGACCTGTTTCAATGGCTCTGGGCTTGAGTCAATAGCATCAGTTTGACATCAGTTTGATACACCTCTAAGATCATTCAGAATTCTGCAGTTGCACTCCCCTCCTTGTGATCCGCATTTCACATGCTTCAAGTGGGTTTTGCATCTCCATAGACTTGTATGAAAATGCAGAACCAGCTTATAGTGACAAAAGCACATCGAAACAGGCCCTTAACATCTCTGCCGTATTGAAGACATAACTCTTGCTGAAGAATCTCCCTCTGCTTCAGGCACATTACCAGTTTTGTGAAAGGCCCTATCCTCCACTGCTTTCTGTGGTTCAATCTGCCAGCCTCTACGTCTCAACTGTGCACTATAGTGACGTAGGGTCTAGCTGATTAGGGGGAACAGACATCCAACACTCCTAAAGGTGTTGAAGGCAGAAGATTCTTCAGATAGCAGTAGCTTTCCCACAAAACGGACATCAGACATCGGGACGGTTAAGTATTACAAGTCTTCCTTTTCATTTGGCCTTTTTTCAGTTAGGTGACAGGGTCTCTTTAATCTTCTATATAGTAAAATAGAGGGAGGTCCCTTATATCTCTAGTTAAGAACAACGTGCAGCTCCATTGTATGACTCTGATATAATAGCGCTCCATGAGTTCCATGATATCATAATAGGTTGTTCAACCATCTCATTGTCACTGAATGAACAGCTTAGACAGTTTGGGTTCCATTTGTGGAAATGAAGACAGTAGGCTCAATTCACAAAGCTCTTCTTCTGGTGTTATTTTGTTGATGCCATAACATAATTATCACAAAACTCTCAGATCATAATTCACAAACACACAGAATATGCTTTATGTATTTAGCTCTGTAAATAGTAGTATTTTTACCACTGTGTGTGTGATATCTGTTCCATCATATCTGACTCTTTGAGATTCTATGGGCCACCATGTCTGGTATGCTTGAGAACCTTTTCCATCAAATTTTCCTGGGAAGTTTGTTTACAAGGTAAGTTGTCAGGTCTTTCTTCAACCCTCCTAATTTGCATGGGGCTGGGACCAATATGTGAGAACATATTGGTCCCGGGCAAATTTGTACACACATACAAATTTAGAGTCAATAAACCTAACAACATGTCACTGGGGAGTGGGAGGAAACTCACAGAACAGGGAGAATCTGCAAATTCCATGCAGAAAGAATCCCAGCATAGATTTAAACCAAGGACCCCACTGTCGCACGGCATAAGTGTTTACCTCTAAGACACTATGCTGCCCCATTTTTCCTGTGCTATTCCTACTAGTGTGATTTTAGCATCCCAAATATTAAAATCAATGTAAAAGTCTATTCACAAAGATAGCCACACAGGTTATTACCCCTTAAATTAACACAATCTTCAGGGTGGTGATAAATGGTATGGGCCTTCTTCAAAGAGACACACTTCTCTGAATCACCAAGACAGCTAACCACATTTATCTTTTCTCTCAATACCTCCCAGTGCCTTCACCGCACTCTGGCCTCCAAGATATCCTATGAAACACGTCATCATCATCCATAATTAACTTAAAGAAACCCAGATGCTTTAGACAGTTTAGTGCAGGATTTGCTCCATTTACCTGACACTAACCTGGTTTCCTGATACTCAAAATCTGTTATTAGACCAAACAAAACCTCATGTCCTAATTCCTTGAACACGGCATACTACCATGTAATACTGAACTCTAGCAACCCCTTTATGGAGATTCAAAAATCAGACAGGCTGACCCCCAGCAGAATTTGCTCAGCATGACTGAGCGTGTCAGGAAGATCAGACATTGACTTAAATGGGGGCCTCCTCCAGCCGGGACCATATAATGTACAAAAGTTTTCTAGGGAGATAATTACGCCGACACCATATTTCGTCTTTTGTCACAGACTGTTCGTGGTACCTCACAAGGGACAGATTAGCAACACAAAATAGGGTCAAACCTTCTTACCACCACAGAACACTTGTAAATAGATCTCGTTGATGAAGTGAAAGGAGAAGGTCTAGTTATGGCTGCTGGGAGGAGTCACAAGAATCTCTACAGATCAGGGACCACGCATTTCATTTGTTTCAGCCGACTCTTGGTTAGTGACCTGCACTTTTCAATGGGTTAAGTGCAACTTCAGGAAAACCTTTTGTGTAATTTTAGCTGGGGAAGAATAAAACTGCTGCCATGTTTATTATTGACATCTGTTTCTCTGTGGTGGAGATTTTTCCTCACTTCCCATTCCTTACTGACCGCACAGGAATTAAATGTAAATCTCCCAAAGTGGGACACCAACAGGAGTAACCCTTCCCCACTCTATCCCAAATCTAAAAAAAAACATTTTGGTTGGAGCTGCCCTTTAAAGCCCAACTCCCTCCTACCCTTTTGTCACCTCAACTCCCCATTGGAGTACCTATGAAAAAAAACATTTATCGACCTGGTCTGGTCACATCACCATTTTCTTCCTCTG